CCCCAGGCAAGAAGAGAGACTCACTCGATGCAGGAGGCGCCTCCGAAGAGACAACAGCTGCCTCCTCTGGCAGGAAGGGGCTGGGGAGGGCGGGGCTTGGACTCTGGAGGACCCGCCCCCGCCTCCATTTCTGGTCCTCTCTAGGAATCCAGCTCAGTTCCTCTTAACCCTTGGCGAGCCGAGCTCACCCCGCTGCGGCCCCTGTCCCTCCCCCATCGCCACCCCTTTTAAGCGAGAGGGGGTATAATCAGAAAACAAGTTCTATAAAAGGATAAGGGAGTTTTGTAACAGAAAAAGAACATTTTATACGTCATTTCCTCCCTGGGTTCTTTTCTCTCTTCTTCTCTGCCTGCCCCTCCCTTCTCCCCCAGCAATGAGCCCCAGGCGCCTTTCCATCTCCGGGGAGACAGAGCTCAGCGCCCCCTCAGAGCAGCCCCACTTTCAAGGCCCAGTGTCAGAAAGCAGCAAGGAGGCAATATTAGGGGGGGGGGTGAGAGAGAGATGGACAGCTGAACCCGGGCCGAGTCTGGAGCTGCAGTCCCTCAGCAAGGCCACCAGGGGGCTGGAACCTCTCTCTCTGATTGGCCAGGCGGGGGCGGAGCCAGCCCTTTTTGGCGAGAAGATGAGAGGCGCCTTTTCTGAGGGAGTTTTGAGGCTGGAGCTGAGATGGGAGGAAGGGAGGAGGAGGAGAGACTGAGTCTGAGGGAGAAGTGGCTCTGGCCTGAGGAGAAGAAGGAGAGGGGAAGAGGGGGCTGAGTCTGGGGGAGAAGTGGCTCTGGCCTGAGGAGGAAGAAGGAGAGGAGGAAGAGGGGCTGAGTCTGAGGGAGAAGTGGCTCTGGCCTGAGGAGAAGAAGGAGAGGGGAAGAGGGGCTGAGTCTGGGGGAGAAGTGGCTCTGGGCCTGAGGAGAAGAAGGAGAGGGGAAGAGGGGCTGAGTCTGAGGGAGAAGTGGGCTCTGGCCTGAGGTAGAAGAAGGAGAGGGGAAGAGGGGCTGAGTCTGGGGTAGAAGTGGCTCT